AAGTTGGGGAGAGAACAACGGACCTGCATTTAACATTTTGTAGTGTGAAGCAGTCCATCTGAGACACGTTGCAAACTACGAATACAACTTCGGTAACCCCCTTCTAGAGGTATCCGAAGTTGAAAAGATCTGCGATCGTTGACACCTTATAATCTGAATTCTTACACCAACTGCTAGAAAATGGGTTCCGAGCAAACCTTGCATTAGTAACGTTGAAGCGCATTTTCGGACAGTTCAACGGAAGCACTTTTCACATAATCTTCAAAGGTTTTATTAGTCCCCTTGTTAGAGTACGGAAACAGAGTACCCACTCAATCCAAAAAGATAAGGACACTCTGATATGTATCCAATGGTTAGTCACGAAATCACTTCAAGGAGTCGAATTCAAGTCTTATGAAGAGCACATCCAATTACTGAACATTTACCCATTACAATACAGACATTTTAAATATGACTTTTTAATGACCCGCAGTATCCTTAACACTTCTGGACATCTCCTTAAATACCTGCTTCAGATTAGTCCCAACACAAAACTTCAGGGTAACACCCAGAAACTGGAGACACAACATAGCAGAACGCACTGTAGATAGACCTTCTTCGTCCTAAGAGTAGTCAAATGTTGAGATTCGCTGCCAGCTGAGCTAGTTTAAATGACTTCTCATGAGTTCTTTGGGAGAGAACTTGACATATTCCTAAAGATTAAGGATAGTACCTCACTATGATGTACCAACCTTTTTTTCTTTTACCTCTTTTATCGATAATATACCTGGGTTCCTCCCTTTAGGTATCGGTGATCCACTGCTACTAGATACGGAAGTCCTTTAAGTGGTAGCTTCTTCTATTCCACTCAGAACCATTCGTTGACAATTCTGACCTTCCTCTCAGTCTGCAGGACAAAAATGACAGGATACTCTGGGGTGAATTGAACAAGAAGCTCGAACTTCCTAGAATAGAGCCTTTGACGGTCACCCGGCTCACACGAGGAAAGGATTCTAAGCATCTAAATCACCCGAGGCTTCTCCGAGTAACACTTAAGAATGCTACCGACGTAGAGGACGTCTTGCTAGCAAGTCACTTACTGAAATCAGATGGTAACGTAAGAATATTGCCCGACATACCGTACTCTGAGCGCAATATCATACGAAACGTCCCTAAAGAATCTCGCGAGAAGTTCTTCCGCGGAAGAAACATAATTGTCCAAGGTATACCGGAAAATGCAGACCCTACTCAATCAAATTCTGACATCAGGGAATGGAAATTCATCAAACAGTCCTTGAGGCTCAAACACATACTGACTCAGCATGTGACGAGACTAGCCAAGAAGGACGGTGATCCTAGACCCCGTCTAATGAAGATAACTTTCTCATCTTCCCACATGGCGGCTACAGTTCTGGAAGCATTTCGTGCCAACAGACGTCGATTGCCACCTGGAATCCACATGCACCCGGATAGGCCATACGAAGCTAGGACCAAACACAAAGGCAAGTTGGAGCTGATCACTCTACTTGTGGACTGTCTAAATGAAAAAAAACGTGTAAAGGACAAGGCCTACCGCCTCGGCAAACCTCATATAGGTGGGCTACCTGTCCATTCGCACAAGACTCATACAGAAAAACAGGACGAAGCTCACGCGTTCCAAATTGAAAGCTCCCCCGGGGATCATTACTAGGGCCTCTCCTTTTCTCGATCTACATAAACGATCTTCCTCAACAGGTAACGTCAGACTTATTACTTTTTGCCGACGACGTGAAACTTTGGAGAGAGATACGCAACCAAGGAGGATCTGACTCGACTTCAAAGTTGGGCAGACGATAACGGACTTATCTTTAACACTTCAAAGTGTAACGTAGTCCATGTGCGACATGTCGCAAACTACAGTTACAACTTAGGAAACTCCTCTCTAGTAGTATCCGAAGTCGAAAAAGATTTAGGAGTCCTGGTGCCCCATGACTTAAAGTCTTATGCTAACTGTGACAAAAATGCTTTCCGAGCAAACCTTGCACTGGTAACGTTGAGGCGCATTTTTGGCCAGTTTGACGGAAGAACTTTCCACACAATCTTCAATAGTTTCATCCGTCCCCATTAAGAGTTCGGAAACATAGTACTCCCCCCTCACTCCAAAAGGACAAGATCACTTTGGAGCGTATCCAACGGCGAGCCACGAAATCAGTTCGAGGACTCAAATCTAAACCTTACGAAGAACGCCTCCATTCACTGACCTTTACCCACTAGAATATAGGCGTCTTAGAGGTGATTTATTAATGGCTTATAGTATTCTTAACACTTCTGGACATCCTCTTAAACACCTAGTTAAGCTTAGTTCGAATAATAACCTAAGGGGTAACACCCAGAAACTGGAAACACAACATAGCAGGACGGAATGTAGACACAACTTCTACTCCTTAAGAGTTGTCAAAAGCTGGAATTCGCTGCCGGCCGAGCTAGTCCAAGCGACTTCTCAGGAGTCCTTCAAGAGTCAACTTGACCTATTCTTAAGAAACAAGGACAGCATCACACTATGATTTACCAATTTTTTTTCCTCTTTTATTGTTAACATACCTAGGTTCCTGCCTGAAAGACTTGGTGATCCCCTGCTACTAGACACGGAAGCCTGTTAGGCGAAAGCTTCTTCTATTCCGTTCACAACCATTTGAACCATTTGAAACCAAGGTCTGCGCACTTTTCGATGGTCACGTTACCAATGCACAGGCACACTATGCGTGTTAGTTTACGGGTTTTCGCGCACATGTAACATATTGTCGTGGATTTTATGTTTCGTTATTTATCAGCTATTAACAGCCTTTTTTCCATCATACGTGACTTCTCGTAATCTTTGTGATTGGAAGATAGTATTTATTTCAATTTATAAGCAGTTTGACGTATTTTGTGCTCACCACCTAAGTAAACATGCAGTTGGCGTAATATGGTTATTTTTTAATAATACAAGGTCAAACAAGTCAAATCACCATTTTTCTAGTGAAAAATAGAAAACAGACTGACTTTTCATGAAAATAAGCCGTGAAAAGCATTATATATGGTTCACCTCCTTGATTATGGTGACAGCAAACATTGATGTACGCAGTCGTTTATAAGATGTTATCAGAAAGAAGTAAGCATTAAACTAACTATGGATATTATATAAATTGTTTGTATTTAGCCATAAAAGGTTATTTGCACTAAAGGTAGCATTGTTTGGTATTGAAGTGACATATTATTGTGTAACGTATCAGAGAAAAATTATGTGAGTAAGAATTGATGTTGATAGTCTTTTTTACCGGCTTTCTGAACGTATACAGGAACAGTGTATAACACCACATTAAATAGGCACAAAATCTTCATAAGTGAAACGATGGCTGTCTCTTCTGAGCATGGTGACAAAACCATGTCGTACTTAATACTCATTTATGATGTGTCTGTTATAGGGTTGACGAATAATTTTCTGTAAACGAAATGCACAGTCTCAGACGAAAATGTGAACAAACTTATGATGCATATTGTCGAGTAATATCTAAATGGTACTTACCAATTTTTCTTGCTAATACCAGATGTATGTACGAAATAATACAAGGGTTAGACACTGAATAAATTTCCAGTGCTTGTTACGACACAGACTTGAATAAAAAACAACTATTCATAAGTTAATTCATGAATTCCTACTGTATTACAGACTGACTCGTCCGAAGTAATTCATGCAGACAACGGGACGAAAAGTGAATGAGCAATGGAAGCAGAATCACAAGTTCCTTGTATTCATATCTCGTTTATGCCAATTTTTAAATAACATTGATTTGTGTGTTGTAAAGATTACCTATTAATTATTATTAAAGGAAATAGAAATCTCTAATGATTAGCGCTGTCTGCAAATAAGAGACTTATAGGTATATTCTGTAACCTGCTATTTGATGTACTTATTGAATGTGATACTTATAACTAGGTCTAATTCTTTATTTCACAACTGATTTGTTTGTTTTTCAGAATTGTATGTGACGGCAGGGATATCGGCACATCATAAACGTGCTACAATTGCATTGACAAATGCTTATATCAACTTCATAATGTTGTCCGCGATCAACATAGTAAAATACAACGATAAACATATTCACTTTTTATTATTAGTATTATACGTAGAATCAATGCACACAACTTCTGGATATTTTCTGTACAGTAGTATTTGGTTAGAACTACTGAAACATATTCTAGTGGCATATCCATTTTCTAAATGTTCCTTCACTTCGCCTCTCTGTCTAAGCATATCCATTACCTGGTTCCGAGTAAAACAACCTGAAATATATTTATATACACTTACCAGTGGAGAGTGTAGCTTTCATCCCTTTGACATCGGCAGCAGTTACTTGCTTACCAGTTCTCTCCTTAATGCTTTCGATAACTTCATCTGCTGACTCACAGTGAAGTATTACGGGCTTCAAGTTCTCTTTTTCTTCTGACGATAATCTCCTTGTCAATGGATCACATACCATCCATGAACTACTACATGGATGATTGTGGAGCATGTTGTAGGATTTGATGACATATCCTTGCTCCTCTAGTCTTACACGAAATTTAGATCGACAATTACGGAATTTAGACCTTAAACATAAGATATTAGTTACAGATCTTACGATTTTTGCCTCACTTTCAAACCTTCCGATTTCCTCTTATGACCAAACGTACAATTAAACGATACAAACAGGTATTTGAACCTGACATCCTTCAGCAATCTGCTCTCTGTGTGGATGTAACGAGTATAAGTAGTCTGAGAAGCGATAAAACTATAATTCCATACTTTTTGGAACTCTTTTAAGGCGCTTTCAAAATCATCCCACAAGACGAAACGCTTGTTCAGTATCATACTTCGAAAGGCATCGGTTAGGTCGACTGAAATGTCACTTGAGCATGAAGCACTAAAAACAGAAATGACTAATTATTAAAAGGTTATTCCTTGCGACAATAATAACCCAAGAAAATACTACAAATACTTAGGATTTACCTGTGACTTGACATTTCGTTGAGCTTTACTACAGTTGTTGGGATCAAAGATCAAATTACAAAGCAACAACAGAGCCAACGTGTACACTACAAAACAGAAAACGCTAAATTAATGGTTTTGGTATTTATTTCGTGCTTTTTTATGTAGCATAACATGACTTATATATGAAAAAACTTGGTACTCATGCAATCCAACCAACCCACGGCAATTGAAATACGGAATGACCGCCTCTAGTCAAGCCGTTCAAGGTCGTTGAAACGAAAGGGCGGGCACATTTCAAAAGGACCTAACGTTTAAACCTTGCCCAATGCACATTTATCACCAGATGTAGGTATCGAGACCTAGCCAAAAGTTTAGTGAATTCCGGGATGACTGGTAATCTGCCATGCGAGTGGTTTGTTTCAGTAACTCTTTTAGGTTCTTCACGTTTACGAAAACCAATATCACCATCATGGTGCAAACCAGTAATGCTTGTTGGCAATAATTTATAATTTCGAACTTTTCCTACTGTAAGTTAAGACTTAGCACACCAACTCTCAATCTGTTACTAAGTTGCACCATCGCTTTGCATTCTCCCATTTTAGTGTGTATGACATGTACATAATTTATTCTAGTAGGAGCCAAGTCTTATCGGGCTCATTAATTTCTCTGGTTACATATATATAGTTGATTCAGTGTAAATATGCGAGTTTCATCTTAGAATCACACTCAGTAGTTTAAGTGAAATGTCTTTCATGAAACTACACGTTTGTTCTAAATTGTTTTTTTCTTCCTCATTGATTTTAGTTACTATTCTCTCTCTGCGATATAAACTTAGTGTCCGATTTCATTGCCCTGCATAGAGTCATTCCGTTTGTAACTGCTTCATGGTTTGGTTTCATCTACCGTTATTTCGAAGTTTCAATTACGTTAATCGGAAATTACTGTCTACGCATGTTAAATTGAGTCCATTAGCCGATGCTTTTAATTACCATAGTTTAAAAACAAAGGATGAACATTTAAGCAAAAGGACAGGTATCTTTTGCATAATATCAATGTTTTTAATCATATAGGACTTTTTGGCCACCCGGTTTTGACCTCTCCTCATAGTTTTCAAAGTCTGGTTGAATCTACTATCGGAGAGTGTCATGTGTTGTGTGATGAAGCTACTTCTCAGACAAGAGTTAGGAAAATAGTCCAGGTTAGTCTCGTGTTATCTATACTTCAACTTTGTTACATTTTTACAGCCACTTAGAACTGCTTTTCATGCTATTAACGCTTACTAGATACTGTCGTTTATAAGCAGGTTATTTATTTACAAGAATCAAATATGTAGAAAAAACCTTATAATATAGTGAGATTGTGCTATGTCAACTCATTTTTCTCTAAACCACTTACACGGTTTCTCGCATATTACATGGATCTGGATGTTTAAACATGCATAAGTCAGTCAGTCAGCTACAACGTAGGACCAGGCACATATGTGCATCGGTCCAGGTTGCCATACCTCATTAGCACAGCAAGATGAACACCGGATTCATAGGAGTGGTTAGGTCAAAGGTTGCAATAAGGATATAGTATAGGAAGAAAGAATTAGTTCTTAAACAGAAAGAATGAAGTGATTTTAGTCTCTTAGTTTAAGGGAAGACAGGGAGTGTATACACCGACGCCACTGTGATCGATTCTGAGCCATGTCACCAAGAGTCTCCAACCATTGGTTACGAAAGTCACGCGGACCCCAACCAAGTAGTCTGCATCTACCAACATGGCTCAGACTAGAAGTTAGTGACTTCAGGCACTGATGCCACGTTTTGGTTTGGCCGCCCCTAACTTTCTTCCAACCATCCCCTACCCCGGTTAGCATTGCACGTCGTGGTAATCGGTGTTCAGGCATACGTAATACGTGGCCCAACCATCTCAGTCGATGAAGATTCATAACCTCATCAACTGATTTACCATCATTCCCTAATACCCTGCGTCTAACCTCACTATTACTTACCCGGTGATCCCAACAGATGCCAGCAATATTTCTAAGGCATCTGTGGTCAAATACTAATAGCTTACGAGTGTCTTCTACTCTTAATGGCCATGTTTCGCTGCCGTAAATTAAAACAGAACGAACTGCCGCGCAGTATACTCGTCCTTTTATTGATAGACGGATATCTCGCCTTCGCCAAAGGTGACGCAAGTTGGCAAAAGCCAAGCGAGCTTTTCGAATCCGTGCTGAGATTTCGTCCGATACCAACCCATTAGGGCTGATCAGACTTCCAAGATAAGTGAAGTTATCAACGCGTTCGACTACTTCACTCCCTATCCTTAGTTCAGGTGTTGACGCAGACCAGTCCTGAAGCAACAACTTGCATTTAGAGGGAGAGAAGCGCATCCCAAACATTCTGGCATTGTTGCTTAGTGCTACCAGAAGACTCTGCATTTTGTCAGCGTCTTCACCAAACAGGACTATGTCATCTGCGTATTCTAAGTCGATAAGTGGACCTCCTGGAAGGAGATCAATACCCGAGAATTCAGTCGACGAGAGTGTTATTTCCATCAATAGGTCTATGATGAAGTTAAACAAAAATGGAGAAAGTGGACAGCCTTGACGGACACCACTTGAGGTTGCAAAAGTAGATGACAGTTCGCCATAAGCCCTGACTCGACTAGTAGTGTTCGAGTAAAGAGCCTTCACAAGGTTTATGTACTTCTGAGGTACGCCTTTCAATGACAGACACTGCCACAGAGTCTCGCGGTCTACCGAGTCAAATGCTGCTTTTAAGTCAAGAAATACCACCATCGTCGGACGCCGATAGGTATGCCTGTGTTCTAGAACCTGACGAATGGTGAATATGTGGTCGATGCAGCCACGACCAGGTCTAAAGCCAGCTTGGTTCTCTCGAGTTTGTAGTTCACGAGTCTTAGTTAGGCGTTTGATAATTATCGAGGCCAGTATTTTAGAAACTATGTTTGTTAAACTAATCCCTCTGTGGTTGTCACAGGATGATTTCGACCCTTTCTTATATATTGGGACGATAAGTGATTGCGACCAGTCAGATGGGATAAAGTCTAATTCCCAGATCTTAGCTAAAATATTAGTCAACTTAATCGCTAAAATTGGACCACCATCCTTAAAGACCTCTGGAGCCAATCCATCTGGACCAGCTGCCCTTCCTCGTTTCAGATTCACTATAGCCTTTTGAACTTCAGCAAGAGTAGGGGGACCTATTTCAATGTTCCATTCACACTGTCTGGGAATGGAGGGTAGTTGTAGAGTAGCTGAAGGCCAGCTGAACTGTTCTCTAAAATGTTCCGCCCATCGTTCTAAACGTCTGGACTGGGAGCAGATGAGAGTATCATCTTTTTCCGAAATAATCTCACTTACACTTGACTTACTAATTCCAGTTTCTTTTATTAGTCTGTAAAGCTGTCTTGTGTTCCCTATAGTCGCCGCCTTTTCCATCTCTTTTGCTTTCGTTACCCACCACTGCTCACGGTCGTTCTTTAGACTTTTTCTTAACCTAGATCTGATTTGTTTTCGCTCTTCATCATGTTCAGGACCTGATGGGACGAGTTTGCGAGAATCCATCAGTGTGACAGACCTTGAAGAAATCCACTGGTTCCTTGCAACTCTGTGGTTTAAGTCACTAATGGATGTCACTGCTGTTTCCACAGCTGATTGTATGCCCTTCCAAGCAACATCTGGGTCAGCCTCGTCTTCACAACTACCTAAGTGTGACCTCAGTTGTTCCTGGAACCTACTTTTGGTTTTCTCGTTACTCAAATCAGTTCTAACGGGTCTTTTTAATGTGACTTTTTTGCGTCCAGTGAGGCGCAAGCAGATGCGTGCCCGTATTAGGGCATGGTCGGAGTCCAAGCAGGTACTCCAGAATGAGCGACAATCTTCTACCGACCCTCTCCAACGATGACTGATGGCAATATGGTCTATTTGAGTCCATCGTTGGTTTGGTGTAGGGGGTCGCCATGTTAGACGATGTCTCTCCTTATGCTTAAAATTTGTGTTTGCTAAAAATAAACGATTGTCTGAACATAGCTGCAGCAGACGCTCACCATTGTCTGTTCGCTGTGTCGGAATACTAAAATATCCACCTAAATGCCTTTCTGTTTGGTTTAAACTGCCTATCTGAGCATTAAAATCACCTGCTACGAGTACTATGTCTGAGCGTTTAGCTTTCTGAAGAAGTTCGGACAGCTTTCTGTAAAATTCATCTTTCACATCATCTGAGCTGCAGTCAGTGGGAGCGTAGGCAGAAACGACAAAAAGGCAACGACGTGTGTCCCTATCCTTCCGAGTTCTTACGTAGCCGTTCAGCCGAACAGCACATAGACGACTGTTGACGGGGATCCACTCTAGCAGTGCTTGTTCGGCCCTCATGCTTAGTGCTATGCCTACACCTGCCAGTCCACGAGAACTTGCCATCGGGTCACCAGATACACGAAGGGTGTACCTCGTTGGCTCTCCGTTTTGCCGAGGTGAGGTCAGGTGAATGACCACACTGGAATCCTGTATGCGTGTTTCGGAGACACAGCACACGTCAATGGTAAGAGACTCTAGGGTTTTAGCCAAGGAAGCCTGCTGACCAATTTGACATAGGGTTCGTACGTTGAAGGCTCCAATGTGTAGTTTGGAGCGAGGTTTCAGTAGACCTGGGACAGTATTTTGCGCACTAGAATCGTTGGCTATGGTGACACTTGAGGTGGAAGCCGAGAGAGGAAATTTAAAGTTGAAAGTCGATGTAGGAGGAATAATAGGAATTGAAGAGGAAGGTTGATTATGAATACAGTGGTCTTGAGTGCTGTTAGAGGTATGAGGGCGGTTTTCACTTCCCGGTTGCCCACACCGTGGAAGGGTTGTTCTGGAGGTACCTGAAAAGGAATTTGGATTAAAGGTGGTCTTAGTGACCTGAGAGCGTGACCGCAGTGCCCAAGGGACAACTGCTTGAGGTCGGTCACACACGACCTTGTTATGGGTAATTTTTGTGTTAGCTCCGTACTTATTGGGACCTTACCGCCGGAGACGGATATCCGTGGGATAAGGCGAGGTGTGCATTTTTAGGGTCGACCTTTTCTAACCCCACCCCTCCTTGTGGGAAGGCAGCATCGCTGTCATGCTGGTTGTCTGAAGGAAACACCTTACTGCTGTCACACCTCTGTACAGTCAGCAGTACGACTTCGCCTTCGGACCTTGGGTTTGTTGCTTTTAGTCTTACCGCTCTTCAACCGACCTGTCTGACATGGTAGGACCTTGAGGAACGGTTGTTCCAGCCAGTATAGCTCGGTTGCTTCATCACGATAGGCAAGCCCGACCACCACGTCAAGGTAGCAACAACGGTCGGGTTAAACATGCATAAAGCGCTCTAACTTTATCGGTTGATAAAAAAACCGTAGATTCAGTGAACGACTGATTACTTTCAAATAGTACTCATGTGTAACATCACTGCTCCCTCTATGGCTTCAATATATATGAGGTATAGTTAGTAGAAATCTGTTGAGAAAAACATAGAATCTGCGCTTGTATGTGTATTCACTAGCCACATTTCTCACTTTTGAAGTAATGAAAAATGACTTGTTCATTATACTCCTTGCTTGATAAGAAGTCGGATATTTCGTTTGGTTCGTGGATAGTGCGACCAACAAATTCCCCAGTCGCTAGCTTTTACAGGTTAACAAAACTTAAGAAAAATGATGTTAAGCATGTTCAGACAATTGATTCCTCAAAGTTAAATTGCCTGATATTCCCGATCAATCATGAACCAACATTTTTCAAGGAAAACGTAATGATTACATTTATTACACAGTTCGAAGCTGTTTCAGTATTTGGGGACATAACTTTTGTTATCGTCTTATAATTTTGTAGAAACAAACGTTTGTATGAGAGACTTGTCGATGACTTACGTAATGAAAAGTTTCGGATCGACGATATCCTCGAATATTTTAAGAAGTCAGATCCATCACTCAGATTTATAGTGGAGCAGGAATGTGAGTGAAAACTTCCTTCCTTGATGTCCTATTTACCAAAAGAAATGGTAGATCACTAAAAACATCTATGTACAATAAACCTTGGAACGGAAAATTGATATATTTTCACTCTTAGTTCTCAATAATTAGGAAATGAAGTCTCGGTAACTGCCTATGCTCACGATATCGTAAACTTTCTTCACCAGACCATCTAAAGAATGAAATTTCCACTTCATAATCTGCTTTTCTAGAGAATGGGTATTCGTCAAGATATATGGAGAGAAATCCGAAGATACAGCCTTTACAAATCAAGTCTACCGGTCAAAAAGTCATTGTTTATAAACCTGATAAAGTATTGTTGGTGATATACTAAAAGACCACCTGCAGAGTAAACGACATAAAAAGACATTTAACGCGTCAAATTTTCATATAAACTGCTATGATTATTCTCTTATGTGTCCGTTTGTGAAAGAAAAGTTACCAAGGCTGACTAACTGAATGTTCGTATACCAGTTCACCTGCTCATGTAGAGCTAGGTATGTAGGTCGTTCATCAAGGCCGTTTCTTTGCATTTGGAAACATTGGACATTCGTTTTGTCCCCGTATGGTATTCTTCGGAAACACGTACCAACGGCCCCACAACTTGGAACTTCAGTTTAGCCAATTAAGCGTTTAAGCTCTAGACCACTCAGCGGTCAACATTATGGTGACAACTATTTGCTTGTGGTGGTTCTTCTTGTGGCCCAGAACCTCATGACATGTTGAAGTGATTACCTCTTTGATCGCTTTCCAGTTGCTCTCCATAGTAGTTCCCTCTCCATTGTATTATTATTATTATTTGAACACATAAATATTGGTACAAGAGAGCGCCAATATATATGCGCCACACAAAACAATGGAATTCGAAGAGAAGTAGAAAGAAGAAAAAAACTAAGGAACGCAAAAGAGAACAATGACGAAGAGATTGGAGTAAGGTAGTGTGGTAGTAACGACGAAAAGGTACAATCAGAAGAAATCTTTCAGGTAAAGGAGACACAACCACTTTTTATGAAGAAAGTAAAAGAAGGTTACAGCAGGATCGCCACTGGCTTCTATTCTGAGCCATATCTGATAACGTCTCTAGCCGCTGTGTAGCACCATCTCTCGGACCCCAGCCAGGGAGTCGTGAAGGACCAACACAAGCCAGTCCTTTGCAGCTTTCTTTCATGCCACGACACCATGTCATGCACTGACCACCTCTCCGCTTCTTCCAACCAGTCCCAGAGTCGGCAAATAATGCACGACGTGGAATTCTCTGGGACGACATTCGGAGAACATGTCCAAACCACCGAAGTCGGTGTTTCAAGATGGTGACACCAATTGAGTTATCATCTCTGTGCCCGAACACACGATGCCGAACCTCTGCATTACTGACATGGTGTTGCCACTGAATATCAGCAATCCTTCGGAGACAGCGATGATCGAACACAGAGAGTCGTCTAACGTCCTCAACTCGGAGAGGCCAGGTTTCACAAGCATAGAGCAAAACTGCTCTCACCGACGCGTTGTAGATCCGGCCTTTTACAGCCAGACTGACATGACGAATGCGCCAAAGATGGCCCAGATTGGCATAAGCCGCTCTGGCTTTCACTATTCGTGCATTGATCTCATCACTTACACCCCCACCAGCACTTATGCAGCTACCCAGATACACGAACTTCTCGATTACGTCTATCTGCTCACCATCCAGGGTGAGTACAGGATTGGAATCCTGCCAGTCTTGTAGAAGTACTTTGCACTTCGAAGGTGCAAAACACATACCATACCTACGGACACTGATTGCCAACTGATTAAGTGCGGATTGCATGCCTCGGGCATTATCGCACAGTAGGACAATATCGTCCGCATACTCAAGGTCGAGAAGTCTTTCTCCAGGCAACAGATCCACACCACCATTACTTACATTCATCAGAGCTGTTTCCAGAATGTCATCGATGGCAAAGTTGAAGAGGAATGGTGAGATTGGGCAACCCTGCCTAACCCCACTGCTCGAATGGAACAATGGAGAGAGGTGGTTGTATGCCCTCACTCTGCCTGAGGTGTTTTTATATAGGGCCTTTAGGATGTTACTAAACTTCTTAGGCACACCCTTCTTCAATAGACAATCCCAGAGAACAGCCCTGTCCAACGAATCGAAGGCAGCCCTGATGTCAAGAAACACTACGATTGTTGGCCTTCGATAAGTATGGCGGTGTTCTAACATTTGGCGGAGGGTGAAGATATGATCAATGCATCCTCGACCAGAACGAAACCCAGCCTGTTCCTCGCGAGTCAATCTTTCTCGGGTTTTGAACAACCTACGAAGTATGACGGAAGCCAATAGCTTGGACACAATCGGAAGTAGACTTATCCCCCGATAGTTGTTACAGGAACGACGTGAACTCTTTTTAAAGATAGGGACAACTATCGACTCATTCTGCCCATCGTCCAAGACGTCGATGGATGTTAGTGATTGGCATCCCATCATCCTCGCAGATTGTTTCACTCACACCAGACTTCTTGCTGCCAGTGGCTCGGATGAGTTGGAAGAGCTTCCTGTAGTTACCAGATGCAGCTGCTGCTTCCAGCTCATTAGCACGCTTCGACCACCAGGCTTCACGGTCCATCGGCAATACGAACGACCCTCTTCTGTGCCTAGACGTACGACTTGCGTATTTGTCTCCGCATGTAACTAGGAAGCCAGTAACAGTCCTTCTGTAGTTTTCTTTTCATAAATGTGAGAGGAACTTCCTTAACTCAAAGAATTCTTTCTGTTTGTATTTTATCAACTAAACTTTCTACCACAACTAACTACTTGCATTCACTTATTTTTATTCATTCATTGTCTCCGGCTAAGAGACTAAGCATTATGTTATAATTTGAAACAACTATAGCACTCAAAATACTCATTGGAAGTTTGTGAGTAAACTTATACGGATTATTATGGTCCTTTAGTGAAAACTGGAGTATAAGTCATTGCTCCCCCTTTCTTTAGAAGAATTTACATGGTCGAGATATTCACTGCATTTATTGAATCACATCAAACCCTGATGTCTGTTGTTAATCAAAATAGAATAAAATAGAGAGGATTTTTGATCATAAACACTAAAAAACGACATATGTATATGTCAATGGTTAAGATCATGAGTCAGTTGAAGCTAGACCACCATGGAAAACCTGGAAGCACTGGACGGCCGTTTCGTCCTATTGTGGGACTCCTCAGCAGTGCGCATCCACGACCTCGCCCCCTGCGAGATTCGAACCCAGGACCTACTGGTTTCGCGCCCGAGCACTTAACCACTGAGCCGGCATCCAACGGTGTTAATGTCTAACTTCAACTAATCCACGAAATTGAGCGACACATTCACCATTGTCTTCAGTGAGTTACTACCTCACAACAGACTTTGATTGAACTCCACTGATCACTACTTCTCACTAGAACTCCAGGATATACCTCGTGAAGCCAGTCACTAGTGAGCGCACTGCTGAGGAGTCCCACAATAGGACGAAACGGCCGTCCAGTGCTTCCAGGTTTTCCATGGTGGTCTAGCTTCAACTGACTCATGATCTTAACCATTGAAATTACTACAGTCTCCACAAAAAAAACCCATCTGATATGTATATGTTCTTCATTATATTTTCAACCTTAAACAGATATCGATTATTTATTTAGTTCTTGCACTTTTCTGACCTTTTCGTTCAAATAAATGTTTTCTGCTCTTGTGAAATTCCTCTTCCATACTATCTCAAATTGTCGTTAATTAGGTTAATCAATTCTTTGTTTTATGTTAATTGATCAATGCCTAGGTGTATCAGACATTGTTCAATTCAAGCCTCTAAGTACATACTTCACCGTATTTTTCCTGTGTTTGCGTCTATTTGAATATTATTTTCTTAATTATCCAAAAAGATTCACATGTGCAATGTAGTGAACGAAAACCTTGGGGAAAACCAGTCTATGGTTTAATTCAAAATTACAGAGTGCCTTCGTAAGATATAAAAAGCATACATTAAATACATCATTTTCACATCTTCCATCAGTTGTCCTTTACGTATTTCATGATTCTTTCAATTCCGCTGTCACTCCAATTGCTTTCTGTTACCCTTCCTGTTCTCTTCAATTTAATCTTTTAGCAGGCGTTCTACTTCCGATTGCCGCTACATACTACTTATATCTGTCAGCAGAAGTAGGATGCGCCACAAGTATACTATTATACCCCACTCATTCATGTATTACTATTGCTAGACCTTATTTCAATACTTTAACTTAATTCATCTATTTATCACAGATATTAGACGATCTATCCGATACATTGTGTCGAGTTGCTGATTTATCTGATTGTATACGAATGCTTCATCCAGATCAAGCATATCGCTATTCTGCACTGAAAGCATGTCAGTCAATTGGTCAACTTGTTGAAGAATTAAATACTAATTCAAACTTATATAATGCCTCTGTTCGTGCAAGTAGTTCATCTCAAGTGGATAAATTAATTCCAGATACACATATGGATAATGTTGATAGGCGTGTACTCGATTTATTTGTAGCTGATTTTGAACTATCTGGTGTACAACTGCAGGATCCCTGTCGACACGAACAATTTGTGCATGCTGCTTCATTTGCCTTAAATTGTGGTGCTAAATTTATTGAAGTAAGCGATATATTTGTTTCTTGACTGAATATTTTTTTCAGAGGGAGAGGATTGAGTTAATTCTGAAATTATTAATTTTGCCGACTCTCTTGGTCTTTGCACCTATATTCACAGCAATTACTTTTTTAGAAACAAAAATACTTCCTACCACTTATGAACTTGGATTCAATATTTTTTCAAGTTTAATGTAAATGTTAAATAAAACGTATAGAATACAACAGTTGATTAACTATCTACTATTACCCAGATATTTCACGTTTATCTAGCTGAAGATAGTTCATAATTCTCTTTGTACCATACAATATATATCCCTTAAAAATAAACTGCCGTACTTATTAATAGTGTCTTACTGAAATTGTTGTCAATACTACCATGATTATTAATTTTCATTGTAATGTTGTAGCCAATTTATTCAGGTATTTCACCTGTGAGTTACAGTTTTTAAAATTGATTCGCTTACTGAGTAGCACTCATTGTTCAGTATACTTGCTCTGACTTATGGCCCTGTCTAATATCACGTGACAAACCACCACTCAGAGTATTGACTTCTGTGACCTTGTCCCTGAGCTAACCGACGTCACGTCAATCAGCACTAGTAACCTTGAGTCAACTTCAAACCCTTATTGGTCCTCAATACAGTAGCTTTCCTCCTTGCTCTCCTCCTTAAGAACACAACAATCAGCCTCCTCTATACGAACAATATATTTCAAGCATATGTGGATTATATTCAGCGATACCCAACCACATAGCACCATAAAATGGGAAATGACAATTATACAAGATCAAGTCAAAAGTGTCTGTGATTAAGGGAGACTGTAGATGTTAGCGGGTTAAATATTATACTTGCGTTGTTCCTTTGTACGATTGAAACTTGGATTAATTTTGATTTGGTTATTTATTCTCTGAACAAGTGGCTTACACTGAGTCACGAAACGTCAGAAAATTTAATTTTTCTACTCATTGAGATATTACAAATATATTAATTTATTTATAACAATCTACCCAATGCTCAATTTATTCGAAATTATCAAGTCAAACCTTGGTAATTATGCCTACAAATTCGTATAATAATAGTTAATGGGTCAAATAAAAGCTTATGATGAAAGGATATATTTATCCATATAATAGTCTATAAATAATTCCTGGAAGTTACCATTCACCCAGTCTTCTTGAGATATAACACTGCTGGTCAAAGTTCGTAGTGCAGCACATAAAACTGGACGTAGTTGTTGAGATATATATTTTTATGATAGCTGAATAACTGTTATAATTCCTAATACTTTTATCGAAAACGTTTGTGGTTAGACAGTTTTTCTAGTTTTATGTTATACGAATTAGTAGTTTTATGAGATATTCTCTTGATATTTAATCCTTTAGAAACACTTAGAAGCGTTATTGGCGTATCGCGGATCCACCGAGTGAGTTTTTCTGAGGTTTGGTTAACAATGATCGGCAAAGAAAAACTCAAATTCGTAAATGAGACTGTAGACTTTTATTGACTGAAGTGGTTAGGACATGGGTTTCGGATGTTTAACTACTCTGTATCTTGATATCCAATGTTTCTCTTACATGGGGGTATATGATAAATAGTTAGGAGTGGCCCAATTAAAGCATATCCTAGGTCTATGAAGTCATTGACTGTCGGTACGAACCATGTCGTGAGATAAATCATTCCTCGTTGTAACCTACAGAATACCCGTTAGCGATGGTTTGCGGCGTAGGTGATAGTGCGAAATCATTCGGAGTAGCAAAAGGGTATTCATGCTGAATGTTTTAGATTTCCGGTTAATTATCATTCATACGTTCCTATTTTCCGATTGTATTTGTACTCCTTATTTTTAGATTTTGACTACTTTCGATATTATTTTCTATCCTATCCTCATCTTGTTCGTTTCCTCTCACTTTGAATCAATGTACACTTGTACCAAGTGCATTGTCGATAGAGGCTGACTGACTGAGTATTAATTGAAGCGTTTTTATTTATCGTTTGACTGATATTCAGGGCTGAATTGATGTCCCCGCTAGCTTATGATTTCTTTAAATGGATGACTTGATGTTGATTGCATTTAAAGTTGTTTATTTTATATATTTGTTTAAACACACACAGAAATCATTCGATTTGTGTGAGGTCTGTGATACTGCTCGGGTGCCCAGACCGAAGCAGGTAATTTTCTTAGGGGGCCACACCCCGAGCCTTTGACCTAAAGGTCTGATCCACAAAACAGTGGAACAACATAAGGAGATGCAGTCCCATAGTAAACGGTGATCAATGATAGGTTCATACGCCATTTGTTTCCTTAGGACCCTAGAGACCTGTGCCTCATTGGTTTGGAATTAGGGTTTTTCAACTTCCCTAGGTAGATCCTCCATATCCACGGAACCGGTTAAAGTGCCGGACATTTGCTTTTCGTTCTCTCAATTTCGTAGACAACAACCCCACTATGAGAAGGCAGTGAGTAGGACTTCCCTGGTAGTGCCTGTATACGCGTGGCCATGTGAGAGCAGACTGTCTTCACTCTCGTCCGTACAAGGGCATTTCAGATAATGAATGTCGATAAAATATAGTAGACACATTTTGTTATTTTCCTGGCTAGTTAGCCCGATGTACCTGTATCGCATTGTTGGTATTCCTAGTACCCACCCCTTCATATGTGATATTATCCAGCGGATTATTGAGTCTCGATAGTCACCATTGTATAATCGGTATGGTAATATATATATATATATATATATATATATATACCAAAGGTATTTTAACTATATTGAACTCGAACAAATTATTTGTCTGTGCAATCCTATAGTTAACTGGTGTTATGATAAACTTTTCAACTGGGGATGAATATACTAAGTTTGACTTCAATACGTTCAGTTCTAAAATTAGTTTACATGTATTATAGTGTAGTGTGATGTGACATTATTATCCTTGAATTTATATATATTTCTTTGTATATATAATAAATATTTCTTTTGTATTTAAATTCTACTTGTCTCTTTTTCTTATTACATTATTACACGTTACCTAGGGTTGCCATAGTACAGTAACTTATCCATCGAAGTATTCAGCAAATAGTTATTCAAATTCAATTGAACTTGTTCATCCACTTAGTGATCATCCAGATCCTTCTATCCGTTTATCAACCTATTGTGCATATTATGCACCCATTCAAGGCCAAGAAAAGTGTCTAGAACAACTTTTGAGTGCACGACATGAAATGGCACAGTAAGTTTTTTATTAAAGTGATATAGTATTTGCAAATTCAAAAATTTCCATTTCTTCAAAATGTCACGGATTTTAACTGAATGAGAGAAGGGATGAAGAATTGTAAACAATCTCCACAACCCTATACTGGTAATTGTGAGCAAATTTACTATAACTGGGTTAATATCAATTTTATTATTTAGATCAATCTAGATTTGGTCTATAGAGAACAATGTCTTGAATGTATTAACCTTCCTGTTCTCTGTTGAAATCCCTGTACACGGGAAAAGTAGAAATATACACTTTCTAATTATACGAAAATATTATAATTATAATTATTGTGTAAAAAATTTCTTGCTACTGTCGATTGTATTTCTATCGGGTTTGAAATCTTATTGTTTTAAACAGGGTTTGTTATCCACAGTAAATCGTTGTTACGTAGCATTTTTAATGGTGCATTCCCCACAGATGATGACTCTTCTCTTTGAAAATTAAATTGAGGTACTCAAGTTTCATAACTTCGGTTATGTAATAAAACAACTGGCTTATTACAAAAGTTGGCTTTAATCATCTACTTTATGAAATGTGTTTTTGAAATACTAGTTAGAGAAATTAGGCCAAAGCTATCACTAACAACGTTTTCTTTAATATGATATTTGAATATCACATCTGCCAGATGTAAACGTTCTTCGCTGTCTATCGTTGAGAAAAACGGTACTTTGTACTGACCACCGACCTAACTGAAATAATTCTATTTTTAGAAAAACTCCAATCCATTCAGTTGTTATACAGCATCAGCCTTAAAAATAATGAACAAAATAAGTGTAAAAATATTGCCTTTACATATCCATTTTGTATTTTTCTGTCTAATTTCACTTGTAGGTACTGATCATCTACACATTTAGACTTGTCTTTGAAAAATACTAACTGCTTAAACTTCCAGTTCGATTGTTCCACTATTTAATCACAAACGAATTACGTCAAAATGTTAGGTAGTTGAAGGTAGTCTGCAGGAAACCCTTTACCTAGGTTTCGCGCTAGTTTTCACTCGCAAGCGAGGCGTCTTTGTGATTTTCAGGGGACTGATACTTTCACGTGGATTCAAGACTGACTCATTCAGTTCCATAATCTGAAAAGCTACCAGTAAGCCATACAGGCCTCAACTGATCTGTAAAATCGCGATATTTAAAATTGATCTATCACTAATGACCAACTTCACGTTGATCTCTAATCTATTAGTGCTGACCCAATTTTGTCGATCAAATTGTAATGTGGGCATGAGTGTGACTCTATATTACGTTCATTGTGTTGAGATGTTATGTGGTTGTAGGTAGTCAGCAAGAAACCCCGGACCTAGGTTTTGTGTTATCTGACACTCGTCAGCTAACCATACCTAAGATCGTCGGGCGACTGACAAACTGAATGATGTGTGGTAGTGAAAGTAAATCTAAGTGTGGACAAATGCGCACTCAACTTACTATCAAATATATGACTTCCGTTCATCTTATTGATTTCTACTCCGAACTCACTGAGAGTGATTGCTTGTAATTGTGTGGAATAAGGTATTGTCTAGCATTTACTTTGGTCCTCTGTTTTGGTCGTGAATCATGTGTCTGATATAGCGCGATCTCTGGTCTGTGTGTAGCGAATCTTTCAAGTATCCAATCTAACGGTATTATAAATTTGAATACCCAGACCAACCTCATTATTTTATCATTTTATTCGTTTAGTATAACGCAGAAAGTGAGGAAACTATCTTAAGTCATCCTTTATATCACTAAAGGACTAAACTAGGATGATTTTGACCATTGCTTAGTTATCGATCAGTTGAGAATACAAGATCTCTTCTGTTATAGTCATTCTTAAGAATATCAAATTTTTGTAGCATTACGATTATTCATAAAATCATTAACTTATGTCCCTTCTTTTTACTGTTATTTCTTTTCAGAGCAGCTGGCTTTCAAAATTATGCTAAACGTGCCACGCTCTATAGTTTAGCTGAAACACCTGAGAATGTAGACGAATTCCTTCAGCATGTTTGCAAGAAACTTCGTCCTATTTCAACTGAAGTAGCAAGAAAACAGTTATTACCAATCATAAAAAACTCTTATCGAAAAACGAAGATGCACAACTTGCAAACGGATCGTAATGCAAATTTAATTTGGCCTAGTGATTTACCCTTTGCACTTGGTGTTAAACGCCAGGCATTATGTAGTCGTGTAAGTTATAATTCAAAATAACTTTTATTAGCAATATTACTCATTATTAATATTTCAACCAAAATGTATTGTTTGGTATGAATTCGTATTATTCCTAATTTAATCGTACATCTACAACAACTAAATATATTTTCTGTGCACATTTCAATTACAGTTAATCTTTCCTAGGAAAACTTACCATTGTTAATTAATCAACCGATTTCAGGTCCATTTACTTGACTTTGAATCACACTAAGTGTGAGGGGTAGCGGTATTATCCTGTTGCCTGAACAGGAGTAAGTGGGAGTCCAATTCTACGAATTATTAGCTACAAGTCAAAAGCCTTAATTGCTAAAACACCGCTCTACTTCTTAGCTTTAATTTTACATTTAAAGTAGTGACTTAGGGGTGAGAGTACTTGTCTTTCAATCGACATTTCCCAGGTCCCAGCCTTCCTGACTTAATTCTGCTTCGAAAACCTACCAAGAAGTGGAATGTGTAATTATCGGTCATTTTGTAACCCTTTTGTCCTTAACTAACCTTTGTCAGCTAACAGGTAGCTTACGATCATGCCCTACCGTAGCTGTTACCTTGACGTGATGATCGGCCTTGCCTGTCGTGTTGACTCAACTGAGCCATATTAGCTTGAACACATGTCCTTTTAGGTACTACCTTACCGGACAGATCGGTTGGAGGGCGGTAAGACTAACATCAGCAACTTATGGTCTTGAGGGCTAGGTCGTACTGCTGACTGTAGATGGGTGTGATAGCAGCAAGGTATTTCTCTTGAACAGCCGGCATCTGCAGCGTTTCTGCCTTCTCACAACGGAAGAAAGGGATTGGAAAAGGTTGACTCTAAAAATTTCACACTCCATTTTACCCCACAGATTTCCGCCTTTGATGGTAAGGCCTTTTAAAGTACGGAGCGAACTCATCAAAAACTTCTCATGAAAGGCCATGCGCGACGGACGTCAAGCAATTGTCCCATGGGCTCTGCGGCCACACTCCCAGGTCTCTAATACCACCACCGACTCAGTTTCTTTTTCTTGTCTCTCAAGAAGAAATATCCTTCTATGTCGTGAGCAGTTGGGAAGTTCTAACCCACCTCGTATCTGTAACAACACTCAAGATCATCTCATTGACGATCAAATCCCTCCTTCACCGCTTAATAATTCTATCACCACGAATAACCCTTCTCGTATATCCTTATCACCAAGTGGTACCAATGCTAATGATTCGAGTTCACGAAATGTTATTTGTGGTCTACTAAAACTACACTTTAACCTAAATGTTGGAGTTCTCAATATTTGAACCATGTGTCAGGCAGGACAACAGGCTTCATTAGATAGTACACCAGAATCTCGCGCCATCGACGTTTGCTGCGCCTCCGAAACGTGCATACAGGATCCAAATACAGTCATCCATTTGACCTCACCTTGTCAATATAAAAAACTGGCACTATCTACCCTTCGTGTATTTGGAGATCCCATTGTTACTTCTCTTCGTCTCACTAGTGTAGGTATGCTGTTAAGTTCAAAAGCACAACAGGTTGTGCTTGACCGGATTCCAATAGAAAATCACGTATGCAGTACAGTAAGAACTCAGAAAGACAACTGCCTTTGTGTCTTCGTTTTCTTTGTCCGCGCTCCCACTGACTGCAGCTCGGATGAAGTTACATATGAATTTTATGGGAAGCTACTCAACCTCCTTCAAAAAGCTGAACTCTTATGTAGTAATAGTGACAGGTGGTTTTAATGCTTAAGTTGGTAAACTAAACCAAACCGAAAGGCACTTAGGCAGATCTTACGGTGTTGCGGTACAACGAACTGAAAAGGCAGCTGCAATATGTAACAGTAGACAACTGTTCAGACTTATCAAGGAAACGGGTATTACAAATTCTTTTGTTAGTGAGAATATCTCGGGAAAGGACCGGACTGTCATTCACCATCGATCCAGGTGGTGGGGCTGATAGCCAGAACACTTTAGAGAACCGAGTAGCTGATAGTCAGCCACACTTCAATTATCCACTTTCTGCAAGCAACTTGAATGGCAAACTGATATAAGTCCTTAGACTCTTAGTGAGGTTGAAAAGGCTATAAGTAATCCAAAGCGAGAGAGAGCAGCACGGTCTGATGAACTAAGCACTGAGATTTTTAAGGGTGGTGGTCCAGTTTTAGCAGTTAGATTGACTGAAATCTGGAAACTGGATGTAATCCCATCTGACTAGTCTCGGACGCTGATCATTACAGTCTATAAGAACAAAAATTCATTCTTCGTCTTCCCCCAGATCATAAGCTTCTGAATTCCTCAAAAAATCTTATTTCACTGGTTTATATTTTCTTAAATCTTATCTTTGATGCCTGATCTTTCCTACTACCAATAATACTGTTGCTACCTCTAGTACTCTGAGGTTTGCCCTAACGATTTCATTTCGAGTCGGCGTACATGTGTACCAGGTTTTACTTTACGACTGACTGACTAATGGTCATGTCATTTTGGTCAAATATTGTTTTGTATATAAATAGTAACTTTAATTTTCTAATATTTATTCAAATTGTCAACCAGTTGGTTGATGGTTCTGTCCTTTGAAATCCATTGATTTGATAATATGAATCTCAGCTACATGGATAAATTCTCATTCCACATATGCCTTAGTGTTATTCCTATATTTTATGACATCCGTTGCGTAATCGTATAACACCCATGCTACAACAGCTAATAACCATTTTGGATCTGAAAAATCGAATAGGAACTTAAAGTTTGTTAACTCACACTTTTTCTCTTTTTTGTTGAGAGGTTATAACCTTTTATTTTATCATAATCCCTTGTATCTATCCTTGTCGTTTATTGCAACACATACATAAGTAAGTTATTGATTCATATTTCCTCTACTTTTTTTGTTTTATAGCATTTGACAGATTATTTTTCATTGGGTGCATGTATGGAAGGTGTAAGTCAATTGGCCAATTGTCTATTTGGATTACGTCTAGAAGTTGTACCGGTACAACCTGGAGAAGTGTGGCATCCATCTGTTATCAAAGTTCATGTCTATTCGAATAAGAATAATTCAACAGAACCAATTGGAATAGTCTATTGTGATCTGCTTGATCGTCCTGGTAAACCTGCCCAAGTAATTTTATTTCATTTTAAAATGTTTCTTATCAAGTATTAAAACCTTTTACTCTTATATCATTCGTAATCGTGTTTATTTCAGTTCTGACTTCGATTTACTACCATGGTTTGCTCCATGTTTTGATCATTACCTATGGGGAACAATTCAAGGAATAACAAACGATTCATAATTGATGTGTGGCTAGTAGAATTAAGACGTGTTTAGCTACTGAGTGTGGACAGGCAGACACTGCTTACTGGTTATCAATTATGTGATTTTCCTATTATTGAATTCTACTCTGGACACACTGAATGTAGATTGTCCAAAATTGTGTTAAATAGAGTCTTGTCTAGTCTATACTCGGGTTCTTTACTCATGAACTTGGATCGTGTGTCTAGTATTACGTGATCAAGTCTGTGCTTAGCGTATGGTTCGTGTAATCAGTTTAGTGGTAATGTAACCTCCGTCACTGGCCCTATCATCGTATAGTAGCAGTATATCGCGGGGTACAGAAAATATTTTTATTCTATCATTATGTCAATAATATATATGAATTAGACTGACTTGAATGTTTTAATGGTTCAAACAAGCGTTGGCACACGTCGAAAACATCTTGTGGAGTTATTTCCTCCATAAGTTACGTATACAAAACTGATGACAGCAAAAATGGAGCTGTGGAAATCAATAAAGAGAGGACAGTATCATTTTATTCATCCATCAAACAACAACGAAGAGGGTCTCTCAAGAGCATTACCCAGAAACCTGTGATTATGACTTACTGATCTTCTACGTTTGAAAAGATTACGATATCACTTAAAACCGGCTGACGGAACGAAAGTCAGCAACACAACAACAAGTCAAGTTCAACTATTTCACTGTGCCCCAGCCCTGCTAACTGGAGGGAGAAGACCAGATTCAGCTGAAGGAAACATATATTCCACAAGCAGTCAGAGGCACGAACAAACAAGCACACAACTCATGCGTATATATATAGTACAAAAATGTCCTTGGAAAACATCACAAAATAGCGTACTAAAAGAGAAAACGAACTAATGACATTTAAGGTCGTCCTAAGTGGGAAATACAAATTAAAGGTAAAAGTGGGTGCTTTTGGCACGAATATGAGAAATCCAAATTTCCAAAAATAAAATTACAAAAATGAGACGTTTGCCAAGTGATTTCTGGGGGATCTGGGATTCCTAACATGATCATTTTGTTACTGTGTAAAAGCCTGCTAACCGAGCAAATACATTCACGTCTACAACCTATAGGTTGTCTTTACCACTAGATATGAAACCAACCTTAGTGTTACTTAAGAAGTTGTCGGTCTCTGTGGCTGATCTTTCATTCTGCACATATACTTCATATACAAATAATTTGAACCTCTATAGCTGTCTTTTATTATCCAACGAGAGTTTCACTTTTACAAGCTTTTGATTGCCTCATGAATTCTAATTCTATCGGGAATTTTGCACCAAAAAAATATTTGCTTAAAATCGTGGCAGTCTGACTATTTTTGGTAGATATAGGAGATACAATTGATGACGGCTATTATAGTTTTGATACAGAAAATTCAAAATCACTGCTTTTATGGTTCCAAAAGTGGGAATTTTATTAGCCGTCTAAGACTGAGTTTTTATTTTGTGAAAGGTAAATGTGAGAGGATTAGAACGCCTCACATAATCGTGACAAATTATTCCAGTAGGATCCATGATGCTCCCATCAAACGGCTCCGCCATTCGATAGAATCGTTTTAATTTGATTTTAAATCAAGCACCTAAATCTTTGCTGTCCTCCGTTCACAGTTATCTGGTTCAAAAGTAAAGTAGAAAAGAACTGATGTAAACTTTTTATGATAGCAACTATTTAACCGACAGCGTGCTTTCATTCACTTTTGTTACATATTTAGAATATTAATATTAACAGTCCTATCCTGATTGTATCTTACACTTCTCTTTTTGTTTCTTCATTTATCAGGATTGTCATTACACTATACGTGGTGGTCGATGCCTAAATAATGGTTCTAGTAATCGATCATATCAATCTCCAATTATAACACTTCAATTGACGGTATCTCCGCCTGAATCGAATTCTAAACCACCACTTCTTAGTATAGGACAAGTTGAAAATTTATTTCATGAATGGGGACATGCATTACATTCTATGCTTGCACGTACACGATATCAACATGTTACTGGGACACGGTAAGTATATATATATATATATATCCTCTTTACAGATTATCTATATCTATCCATATTGTTAGTGGATTATGCTGTCACTTAAATGAACATTGAAAAATCAATTGAGGTGATCGGGACATGTGTTATATATACCTAACTACCACCTACCTCGACGGGGAATGTTGTCTGGTATAGGAGTAGACTGATAGAATACTAATAAGTAGCTAAACCAAAACATGACACCAATCCATAAAGTCAATGGTAATTGAACTGAGCTATTTTAATAGATGTAGACACTGTGGTTGAAATTTGGGTGGTTATTATAGCCAGTGGTTAGAGTCTTTGAATGAAATGACTCAAAATTATTCGCAGTGGTGCAGGCGCATTCATTTTTTATCTTCACTTATAACCTGAATGCCAAAATATCTTTGTATTTCTTTTCCCATTATTATTGTTACTATTATTAATTCTAACATTCTAGGAATTTTATTTTAAAATAACTCACTGTGTTAATATCATGTGGCAATTTTAACTAATGCACAAATGTGTCAAGTTCTACGTTGTATATAACTAACTGACATGTATATTTTGTATTTTATTCAGAATTTTAAAACAATATGTAAATAAATTCATTATGAGACAAACATTCAATAAGTAAACGAGAAGATAAACTATGTTACTACTGTGACAATTAGATATAAATTCATTTAGCAATTTTATACGATAGTTAAACCGTATTATTAGTCAACTGCAGAAATGTTTTATATTCAATAATTATACATCAAAACTACTGTACAATTTCAACTTTACTATTAATAATATTCTACATATAACTACATGGTATCCAATAATTGTACTAATCAAGTGTTACACTATTTAATTGTTTAAATTTGTCGATTAAACCTTAGATATTTTGGTCAGCTCTATAGATTAATAATATCTTTTCCTATTTGATAGAATTATTATCTGTCGTGATAGTGTTTAATAGTGATTCTTATTCCAGATAGATGAATAAAATTTTGATTTGATCTATTAGTTCACATAACTAAGATACTCTTAGCTTGACAATGCGATACTATCGTATTGATATGGGAATTCCGAAAATATTTAAACTAATAAATCGTTAGGGAAAATACTGACTACTTATCTGGTTTGGTTAGATTCTTAGAATCACTAAATCTAATGTTTGTTTAGTGTAATTGATTGAACCGTGTTAAACGAAAGCATTTCATTCTATTGTTTTATCTTGTTTGAATTCATAGAATCTGGAAGGTAGTAATTTATTACCGTTGTTAACATGTTGACGTGTAAATAACAGCTGCTTATATCACAGGTTGAAATCATGAGTCGATTGAAGCTAGACCACCATGGAAGACCTGGAAGCACTGGATGGCTGTTCCGTCCCAGTATGGGACTCCTCAGCAGTGCGCATCCACGATCCCGCACCACGCGGGGCTCGAACCCAGGACCTACTGGCTTCGCGCGCGAGCACTTAGCTACTAGACCATTGAGCCGGCATCCAACGGTGTTAATGTCTAACTTCAACCAATCCACGAAGTTGCGCCACCGTACACTATTGTCTTCAGTGAGTTGTTATCCCACAACAAACCTGGTTGAACTCCACTAGTAACGGCTACTCACTAGAACTCCAGGAGTTTTTCCTGAAGTCAGTCACTAGTGAGCAGTTGATTACTATCAGAATGGGTTTTGTGGAGAGTTTTCGTATTAGTATTCCATAGAAACAACTCTGTGTAAGCCTGCTTATACATGATAAAACTAAAAAAGAATATAAGTAGAGATAAACGGTGGCTAGCAGCGAAATTCAAGACGCGTGTTTCTTTCCATTTGGGACACTTCAACTGTATGTACCTGCATCCCAGAGTTGATGTTCACTCCGGAACTCGAGTCCAGTACCGTTCGCATATATCCAAATATGCCAAAAAGAGACTGGTCAAATATAGTCCTAAACATCAATGGCAATATTCAAACAACCGATACAAGTGAATCTAAAAATGAATAGATTATAAAATTCGACCAATCAGCATTTAATTCTATGAATCATCATCAAACATAGATTACAATAAGAACACATCTATGGATTATAATACAATACGTTTGTGTTAAATTTTACAAATGAATCAGTAGGTAAACCCGAGATACTTTCAGATTGCTCGATAAATCCATGTTCTTTCCTTTTTACTACTTAAATGTACAACCGTTAACAACAATCCTTACTAATTATGTAATGCATCAAACATTACTATGTGCTAAGTTTTCCACAAAACTCATACGCATGTAAATAAAATAATTCCTCATTTTTCAACGGGTTCATCATTTTCATATTTCGTGAGTAATTTTGTCAGTGATTCGGGAACAAATGAAAATAATATTAAATTTTCACTAAGATAAATATTTAATCAAAAAAGTAAGCGAACTTTATCATCCTGACAATCTGATTTCTTATTGAAATAATAATCGTAATATGCTAATTAATCAATAAATTATTCTACATTCATTGTTATTATTATTATTATATTAAAGGTGTAGTACTGATTTAGCTGAATTACCATCAACTTTATTTGAACACTTTGCATTAGATCCGCGTGTAGTATCAGAATATGCTCGACATTGGAAAACAGGTCAGAAACCAGATCCTAATGAAATAATTGCATTACAACAATTATCCGTTGGTTTAGGACTTGGTCAAAGTTTAGAAGTTAGTCAACAGGTATACACTTGTAATATATATTTATATATGATATACTTGATTTGAATATTTTATGACTCACAACATCCGATTTACACATACAGATGATTTCGGTATGCTTAACCAAACGAGTTTGCAAGTAAGAATATTGGGAAATGACTAATAATAATCGGTAGTTATTGGAGTTCATGATCTTCAGAAAAAAACTACTTTAATTATGTCATACAATCCTCGGAGGACATTTCAAGTTCGAGTTAATTCCTGAAGTTCCAGTGAGAAATGGTGGAGTTCAACCACGTTGAGAGTGAAACTGATATCGTCGGTAACATTGAATAATAGTTGAAAATATTGATCATTGAATTCTGACTTACCGGTTTAGCGGTAACACTCTCATCCCAAGACATGAATATCCTGAATTTGGCTATGAATGTGTGTTGGTGATGGGTTTAATATCAAATTGTTCAGTGCTTTTAACTTTCCAATGGTCCCTAAATGGAGACCAATCTATGATGTAAACTGCTTCAAAAAGTTACCTTATCGTTGAATATACGAATACAGCTAGTGACCATATGAGTTTATTTCTAAAGTATACTCATATTATCAATACATATCCAGTGACTATAAATTTCACGACGGTAAATTAAGTAGAATTTGATGAACAGGTGATGTCTAATCTCTTGTGGTATAAATTTTGTAGGACATAGCAGATATTACCAGATACCATTACATTAAGAAAGGAGTAAAGGTAGATAAACGTGGATTAGTTTTAAGTGGAAATGAGGATGACAATTAAGTAGAAAACAGAGCTTGTAAGTTGTAATACGTACAAACAAAAACTTATAGTAATCAGTGGATGAGCACAAAATATAAAAACAATTTTTGTGTGTTATCTAAACAATGAGACTGTTTGTTTAAGGGTCTTTTCGAAATTCTATGATCCCCTTTTTTCAAATTGTTTACTAAATGAAGCGTAGAAAGATTAACATTTTATGACTAAGTCAGTCACTTTTTAGTAACAGTTGAATTCCTTTCATTTATACAATTCTTCAGGCTACCTATGCTATTCTGGATCAAGTTTTACACTCAGGTCCTATTGAAAATACTTTACTGCCTTATGCAAAATCAACTCACGAATCAGATGGGTTATGGCCTGCATCCTCTAAATTATTATCAGATATTCAATGTAAAGTTGGACTATCTGATTGGTCTAGTTGTTCACCAGCTCATCTAGGTGCATGGCCTCATCGTTTTACCCACTTAGTCAATTACGGTGGACGCTATTATGCTTATTTGATGGCAAAAGCTGGAGCTAATCTTGTTTGGAGGCGTTATTTTTCCAAAGATCCTTGGTGTTCCTCAAGTGGACAGGTAAATTTCTGTGAATTATTTAATTTGACAAGTTTCTACATCATTCTCGTATCATTTGACCAAGCCAAGACTAATGAATGTAGCAGAATAATATGAGTTCACCATATTTCGCGGTTTTATTACCAGCTACTGACGAACATAGTGGAATTAATCATCACATCACACTCTTAGAAATTATTAGGAATAAACTGTTTACTGAATATTAGCAAGTAGTATAAATCAATACACAGAAAACAAGTTAAGTGAGGAGAGAATACGGACAGAAAAGGCAAACGAACTTCACATCATGTAAGGTGATTTTGAAAGGTTAATACTATTACATTTGGAATGCGTAATTAGCTGATGAGAAATCGTATTATTCTATTACGTTCATTGTCCTTGCTTTAGTCAAATTTATAGATGGGGAAAATTGTATGAAATTTTTGTATCAGTTATAAATACACCTATCAATTTTTTGTCAAAAGTATATATTATATCACTTTAATTATATGCAATCGTCAGTTTTTTTTGAAACCTTTCAAAAGTATAAAAGTTAGGATATTACTCTATTTTCATATTGATTTGTCATCTAGTATCAATTAGTATCCGTTTGGTATTACGTGTTCAGATAGAGGAGTGTGACTGAGGCACCTTTCTGAACCACATTTAAATCGCAATAAATTAAAGCTTTACAAGCCTTAATACTACCCTGTTTAATTTGACTTCGTATAAAGTGGTTTCTTTTCTGCTCTTTATTTTTTTCTGTCACATCACACTACTCATGTATGTTACCACCTATGATTTAGGAATCTGTAACTCATAAAAATTCTCTATTTTAATCCACTACATGTTCATGCGATATTTTAATCTATTTTCTTCATTCTCATAATATTTCGTTCTCCCCCCTAGTTTGTTTATTTATTTAACCCTTTTTGTCTGTGTTCTTTGTTGAATGTTTGTTTATTCAGAACATCTTGTCCACTATAAATACATGGTTCTCAACTTATCTTCGCTACTAATTTGTATCTGTTTGACAAAGTTGTACTCTCTTTTTAATTTATAGCATTTATTATAATATGATTCTTGTTGATTGACATTTCGACACGTTATACCTTTCAATACGAGGTTGTTAAACTGGACTGTTCATTTTGTATTCTTTAGTACTATATCGTATCTCATATAGACTTTCGTTTCACATGTCACTTGATGGTTGGTTTGAAATAGTTGAATGTATTTTACACTGAGTCTTAACTCATTATAATAAATAAAATGTGTGTACGATTAGTTGTTGTAATACATTCTATGATACATCTCTTTTATACCATTAGTTTTTGTTGTAATGACTGTGATGTGTACTTTTTAAAAGTGTTAATTTGTTTACAGTATAAAATACACTTAAATAGTTATTATCCTGAACATTGGCTTTTTCCCTTTCCTTGTTTGTATATTAATTTGAATTGAGTGTAATAGTCTGCCAATCCAATTACATTTCAACCACTGGGATAACTTTATATATGAGTCTTAGATGTTGATAAAAAAGGGAATTGTTCCACATCGTTATCTTCATCATTACTGGTATATTTAAAGGTTTTTGTTAAACTGGATCTGCATCATAACAGCATAGCTCAGAACATCGATTCCCTCAAGATTTCAAGTATATCTTGCTGATGAATTCCAAAAGATATGAAACTGAGATCCAGTATTTTCTACTGACTACCTCCAACCACTTAACATCTCAACACAATGCTTCGCTCACGATTCACTTATATTAGAACCACGTTACAAATTCGTCACTATAAAGGAATAAACAGACATGACATTGGTGAACACATAGTGGTCAGTCAGTTATAGCTATACATCCATTTGTATTTCTAGATAACATAGTTAATTGAAAATTATTCCTAGCTGGTTAATGTCGCATAACTAAATAAGTAGTTGCGGTGAAATTTTACACTTCTCATTTCGAGTTGAGGATACTTCAAATGTTTTTTAGATTTATTTATCTCCATTCACTGGACATATCTAATTAAACGTTAAAAAACTATTCAGCTTGGTATAGTGTTATTTAGGACCGTGTAGGTCTCAGTTTATAAATCACTTTTGATTAATGTTATAAGTAGATTTTAACTACTTATATAATCCAGTAGTATGTTTTACGATAAAATCTGTCTGTTCAATCCCATTCTATTAATAACTTGTATTCTTTTTTTACATTTTTCATTCTAGCTTTATATGGAAAAATTATTATGTCATGGTGGCGAGTATCCTCCAGCTATTCTACTTTCGGACCTTTTGAATTGTGATGATGAGATCAACAGTCAAAATGTACTATTATCTCCTAAAAAGTTAGCTGAAGGTTTAACTGATCAGTTGGA